TCTCTCACACACACACACACACACACACACACTCACTCTCTCACTCACTCTCACACTCACTCACTCTCACACTCACTCACTCTCTCTCACACACACACACACACACACTCCTCCTGTAACCCACGGACACTGTTTTCTCCGATGTGACCCTACAGACTGTCCATTGACGGCTACTCCTCGTCCTCCCAAAAGCGGAGGCAGATTTTTAGGTACAGTCTCTGCTGTGTGTGTTCATGCACTGCGTCTCGGTGGTGAGCGTGTGGAGAGAGAGAGAGAGAGAGAGAGAAACTGGTCAGTCACTAGGGGTGGGTGGTATGATCAAAGTCATATCACAGCGTGAGTGATATCGGGTCATATTATATCACGATTCAGCGAATTTAAAAAAAGGTTTATACTAAACTATTTGTATGTATTTTTTCCTATTTATATATATATAGTATTTGTACATGTATTTTTTTGCCTATTTACAGTATATATAACCCAGTGAATTAAATATTTACAATTAAACATTTATGAATACATTTAATAATAATAATAATAACAAATGTAGTAATTTTAATAATAATAATTATGATTAAATGTATATTTAATATATTTATAGTAATTATTATTAAATATATTTATTATATTTCATTTAATATATAATAAATATTATTGTTATTAACATTCATTTACTATATTATTAAATGAATGTTGTGTTAATAACAATAATATATATTTATATGTATGTTGAAATTAAAAATAATAATAAAATAATACATTAAATTGTCACTTTTATACATTAATATATTTTAGTGATAGATATTTTATATCTATCTATCTATCTATCTATATATAATAGATATAAAATAGATAAACTTCTTAAGTATTAAAAATCTGAAGTATTAATGGGTTGTAATATATAATGTATATAAAAACAGATAGTTCTCTAAATTCTGATTGGATGAGCCATATTCACATTTTCTAACTAATCTGTGCTTTATTTACACCCCTTAACTTCTTGAGGTTTTTCACATTAATCCGTGTTTCTTCATCACTTCCACATGTAAATCGCTGTCCTGCCCACAAATACAGCTGAATCTGCCATCAGTCTCTATATCCCATCATACCGCCCAGTCCTGCCAGTCGCTATGGTTACAAACCAGGACGTTCTGTATCTGTTGGTTGCTTGCCGTGCTACAGCAGTATGACCGCTGCCAGTGTGTGTGTGTGTGTGTGT